TAGAGTCTAATCTCTCTGTGTTATATAAAATACTAAAAGGTTAAACTCCAAGGCTATCTCTTTTGAGGGTGGTGAAAACTGCACAGCACATCACCAGGACAGAGCTGCCATCCATGGATGACCTTTACTGCCAGCGGCTCAGGAAGAAAGCCTTCAGGATTATAAAAGACCCCCATCACCCCAGCCACAAACTGTTCTGTCTGCTGCCGTCTGGCAGGCGGTACCGCAGCATCCGGACTAAAGCCACCAGACTCAGGGACAGTTTCATCCTAGAGGGCATAACACTATTAAACACCTGAGCTAGCACCATTATTTTTCTTTTTCTGACTATTTTATTTAAGTCTTATAAAAATGTATATCTTGTAAATGCACTGTAGCACTGTTGAGGAACCTGTGACCTAAGTTTTTCATTTATTGCAACTACACCGTAGAGTCTACATATTTGAATCTTGAATCTCTTACATGTTGTAGAGGGCAGTATTAATGCAGACATGGATCTGCCAATCCACAATGTAAGTTCAAATGGAAAGCAGAGGTGTTTCTTAAAAGTCTATATTGGTGGACAATACAATGTGTGTGCAGCAAAAACACACTGCTTGTTTTTTCACTCAAGTCTTTAATTGACATTTATTTAAAAGAACACCAAAACACAGAAAACCGCAGGACTTTACATATTTGTCATGGCAGAGTTTAACTTGTAAAATCAGAGTGAATTAGACAACTGTAGTGTGATTCTTTCTTAGTTCCTCTTCTTAGATTTGGCCGGTGTGTGTGCAGGCTTGGGGGTGGAGTTGTAAGTGGAGGACAGCAGCATGGTGAGGAGCAGCAGCACAGGAACCAGCAGGTAGGGAACGTATATGGAGAACAGCAGCCAGCGCTCCTGTGGGGTCTGGGGACCAGGGTGGGGCTTCATCGGGAACTGATAGAAGAGGATGTGAGTGAGGATGGGGACCAGAGTGGTGGCTACATGTGTGGCGTACACGATGGCAGGAGTCCTGATCCACTTACAGCCACCTGAAAGACAAGAAACACACAGAGATATAAGAAGAGTCTTCATGCTGCACAATACAAGAAGCTTAATTCATAACTACAAAAGTTACCAGACTCCAGACTAGGGATTTTTTAAATATCATGTTCAATGCTTTGGAAGCAAAATACCATTTGTCTCAATTTATTTGGGGAGGCGACGAAAAAAAAAAAAACCTATTTAAAATAATTTACATGAACTTCAAATAGACACCGCGCAGGGATTTATGGTTGACGAAAAATAACAAAAGTATAATTAATTTAATCAAAAATACGTAAATAAATAATTTATGCAGGAATAAACAAAAAATAAATGCTGAAATAAATATATGAATAAGTACGTAAATTCTAATTAATAATAATTAAAAAAATACTCAAATAAAAACAGAAATAAATACGCACAGGAATAAACTAAATTAATATAGAATTAAATTAACAAAAACGTAAATAAATACAAACAAGAACAAACAAAAAAATAATCATATACATTCTGAGATCAATACAGGAATAAATTAATAAACAAGTAAATACATATTTATTTCTGTAACCAACATTTAGCATGCCATTTACTGACCTTTAAGGAAAGCATAAGCTGCAACGGGAAAGAAAGGCGTTTGAAACAAAGCCTCGCAAAAAATAAAAGATGTGAACCACTGTGGAGGGTCCAGCACCATGGGGTCTTTGAACATCCTCTGCCATACCACCTGATAAGATCCTTCAGCTGGAGGAGAGAAAGAGTAATGTTGTCATAGCCACCAAGTTTCAGTCACTTTAAGTATTCGTGTTGAAATGTGGATTCTATTTCCTCCTGTCACTTACCGGCTGAGAGGTACACATGTCCCGGTAGCAGGGCTTGTAGTCAATAAACAATGTTATAGGAATATGAGAGGGCGAAATAAAAGAAGAGAGGATTTCAAACACGCGGATAGACATTTCGAAATCTTATTCAGCACAATGACAGATAAGAAACTGGGACCAAGTTCGCAGCAGCAGAGTGTCATAGAAACGCGTGTTCCCATGAGGAATCCCATTGGCTTCCGCAGGAGAAGGGGGCGGGCCTTAACGCACACGGCCGCTATCAGGTGCTCCTCGTTAGTGTCGGAAATACTCAAAAAAATGCTATGGAAACATCAAATAACGTTTTTTGTAACGTTTATTTAGCTAGTTATTATTTTTTCTGTTCAGTATTATCTGTTAATTTAATTGTTGGTATGGTCATAGGTCAGTGTATGTTTTTGGTCATTGGATTTTCTTTTCACAAATGGAAATTCAAAAACAAAAAACGACTGTATATTTTGATTTCGTTTCAAATTGAAAAACCAAAATTGAAATACAAGGCGTTTTTCTTTATCATGGTCAAAAATGGATTTACTAAACTTAAAAAACGGGATGATTTTCTATTTCTCAAAACAAAAAATAAAATCACTAGAAAACAGAAACAAAAAAACCCCCCGTTTTTTCATATTCTGCTACCGGAAGTTGTCTTTCAAAATAAGAGCGCAGATGAGGACGGCCAATCCGTGTATCTACGGTCCATTTGTTTTCACAACAAAAACAGCCAAGACACATATTGAGCCCAGATAAAGAATGTTATTGAGGGCTGGAAATATAATAGGCCTGTGTCTAAAATGGACAACATTGTTAGGAGATTTCAACTATACAGCGATTCTGCACTGCGGTCACTCAGCCGTCTCTCGAGTTTGTTATTATTTTTTCTGCCAATAGTTATTCGTGAGATCGATCCTGTGGACTTAGTAGCCTACTAGTGAAACTACTCCCACAACAAGTACTATGAAGTACTTACTGTGTACTTTTTGAGTAATCCTCTGTCAATGTCCCCTCCCGCAACCCTGTCTCCTAAAATTACGTTCCCACAGAACTAAACTGCATTCTCAATTACGTTTAGCGAGAAACTTATTTTCTCCCACGTTACGTTCGTTATGAACGTATCTCAAATAAGTTTATTTTCTACATATCTTCTAGAAACATATTTTCTTCCACGTTACGTTTCTTGTGAACGTATCTTAAATACTTTTATTTTCTACATATCTTTGCCATTTATTGTCTTGCTTATAATAATGATAATAGTCATTTATAAATATCATTTTGGAGCACACATTTGAAATCGGTAGGCGAGGCTGTAATTTCGCCAGCTGTTACTCTCATGAGTGAGTCAGAAAATAATAGTTTTAACATGCCAAAAAGCTGCTGTGTCGTTTATTGCACCTCAAACATTAACACAAATCCAGAGTTACGTGTTTCTGTACTTCCTCTAAGAAGAAAGGACAGTAAAAGAAGATCTCTGTGAAGCCAGATGTGGTGTTGTTAATGCGATATTATATCCGGAAAAAAAATCAGTTTAGGATGGCCGAAGACACTACACTACCCATAATCCCCAGCTATCCTTTGGCACTACAGTCCCGTTGACAAACCCCGTGATCAATCTTCAAGCTCTGGGATTGGATGTTGGAGTGGCAGTGCACCATGGTTACGCCGAGCGTCAAGCTCTTTGAAATGGAACGAAACCACCCCAGACTATCCAAAACTGGACTCGAACGCCCCCCCAGAACTACACATGCTGGCTATTGTGTTTCGCAACATGTTCTCTATGGCACGTCTCTACTGGGAATTGTAGTTTTAAAAGACGTTTTATTTTTTCCCAAAATTAGAAGTTGACACTGACAATATTGAACTGTGTACATCCCTGGAGGTTTAGGTGATAGGAAACACATTGGTGTGTACACATTTAAAACATATAATTACTAAATGGGTGAAAATCGCTTGTGTCCATAATGGGCAGCATTAATATATATAGGCTACCCACATGACAGCTCATTGTTACTTTGTAATTCTACTCCTACAATTCAGAGGTTAACCTGGTATTTTTACTCCACTACATTTATTTTAGTTACTTTGCAGATTCTGATTAATGATGTGAAATATAAACAACCCTTAAATCAGACTTTAGTTACACCTGGGTAAAATTCAGGGAAGGTGATTGTCAAGTGCCAACAATCAGGAGAGATATTTGATAGTTGGTGCTCGAGAAGACTAAACATGTATCTGCAGATCTCTATAAAGTATATTAATTACTCGTTATTCTCTACTAATAGTTACTTAAAAACTGTATAATGGCTATTTTGCACATCCCTTTCAAGATTTCAAGATTTTCTAAGGTTTATTGACATATCATACACACAACTACGGTGTAGTTATGCAATGAATGAAAAACTTGGGTCACAGGTTCCTCAACAGTGCATTACAAGACATCTATCAATATGTGTGTACCTCCACCATTAAACTGTCAAATTCTGCACATTTCTTATACTATCTACATGCATAAGAGTATAATTAATGTGTATAATATCAGTTAAAATAAGTGCTTCAACATAGTTAACATTGCAGGAAAGCAATATATTAGACGTTAAGCACTTTGTCAGGCTTAATATTGATCTATAGCTTTTTTCTTATTTGAAAGAAGACCTTAAAGGTGGGGTAGGTAAGTTTCAGAAACCGTCTCGAGTGCACTAAAATTTGAAAGTACACAGCCGAAAAGAATCCGCCCCTTCCTTCAGACTTCCTTACAGAGCACCTCCTCCAACACACATGAACGCGCAATGCACGCCCAATTACGGCACGCCCAATGAGGGCACGAGATACATTTGTGCGTGCACGAGATGGAAGGCTGACAGACAGGGCGGCAATCCAATACGTTTAGCCGTCGTGCTTTTTACAGTACTACAGCTTCCACAGATGAAATTTGTTTATGGATTTTTTGTCAAAGCACTTCAGATATTCATTGCTATCGGGATGTTAAGAGCATTCCATGGAATATAACAAAAAGTGTATCTCGAGCCGGTTTCTGAAACTTACCCCACCTTTAACCTAAAGTATTCTTTAATGTGTTAATAAAGGTTAATTAGTTTGTCTGTTTTGCACATCCTCATATTAATATCTTTGTACATCCTGCACTAAACTGTTTTATTGTAGAGATCACTTACAGTATCTTCTTGATTTTTTATATTCTATATTTCTATCATTGACCTTCTACTTTCCACCTATGAAAGTATGTACTCTTAATATTGTTTTCATCAAATAACATTATTCAACAAAAATAATTCAATAACGTGCTTTAACCACTAGGCGGTGCAGACAAGGTACACACAGCATACTAATAATAACTTTGTATTATTAGTGTAGGACACTTATGTATGTATAACATCTGAAGATGTGTAGTTTTATTCATGTTTTTACATAATTTTACAGGATATTGCTATACTATTTCTCATGTTTTACTTCTACACATTAATATCTGATTTGTAAAACATCACAGACAGAAAGGTATATCCGTCATTTAATGGTAAGCTATTGAAATTGTGAATCCATAGATGTGTCTCCCATCACCCAAATCCCCTGATTATTCGCTCAACTCAGTATTTACATTCTTATATTCAAAGAAAATCAGTAATATCTTTAAAAATTACAAGTCCTTTTCTATCAGCTGTGCACCGTTATGGTGTAAATATAACCTACCAATTGGATCAAATATAAAAGTCAGCCGAATTACTATTGATACTGCAAGGAGACGTATTGTGTGAAAAAAAATGCAAGATGTTTAATTGTTGATATATTTATGATCCAAGTCATATATTCAGTTTTGGCGGTAGTTCTCCTGTTTGTCCAGAAGTCTTCTCATCAGGGCTCTATAAATAAAGAACTACGTCAGATATGTAATATGTAATGCAGCCGAACCGTGTATTTGTATTACAATGCCGTTATGTGATGACTTTCAAAGAGAAAAGCAAGAACAAAAAAAGTTTTCGGATATCATATCGCATTAACATCATATCCCAACATGCATTGCGGCTAAAACATCCAATCAACGAGCTTCAAGCTGAGGATCTTGGGTAATCTGTTCAGTGGGTTTGTGGTGTGTATTGCTCGAAATGTCCCTTATTGGCCTACGTCTGTTTCCAGTGACTTTATTTACGGCTAAAAAGCCCAAGATTATAGAATTAAACGAATAAATAAAAACAAGGATAATTGTGTGTTATTGTTGAGTAAATAACAGTGTGTTATTTAGAAAATAATAACAAATTAGAAGGAAAAAAAGATTTTCAAAAATACAGATTTCAGTATTTTGAGGCTCTAAGCCCCATTTATTTTCCTCACAGACGGCAAAAAAAGTCAGACATTATACGATTTAAAATAAAAACAAATAAATAAAAAGATAAAACACTGGCATGTAATTTACGTTAGAATAAATAGAATGGTTTTGAATAATAGATGAGAGTAAAATCGACGTCACTTTACAGCCCGCCCACTTTTGGGGAAACCAACGCTGTCATTTGAACGGCGATCAAGCCTGAAGCCACAGAGATCTTCTGTTACTGTCCTTTCTTCTTAGAGGAAGTACAGAAACACAGACAGAAACACACACATACACATACACACACACACACACACACACACACACACACACACACACACATACACATACACACATACACACACAAAGAAAACCTTTTGAATTCATATAGAGCTGTTTTTTCTATTTCTTCTGAATTGTAGAAATCCTTGGTGTTTCAATACCCTCGTATTATATCATTGTTGCCCTGAGGCAACAAACCAACCCCTGGTTGAGGGGTGTGGGGGGGTCACATTTTATAATTGATATACTATCATTGACCCCTAAGCTCCTAAAACACATGGTGAAACATTGTTTTTCCTCCCAAAATAAAAAGTCATGCCATAGAGGGATAAGGCACTATTACAAATATTCTTAATTTGCCGTATTTTAATTTTAAAAGTGTTCAGAAAGACTGCATAAAATATGCTATATCTATATATCTATATAATATCAATATTGTTATTAACTTCAATCAAAGTCAATTTAAATAGCGGGCAAGACTTTCCAAGGAGTAAAAATGCTGCTGCCGGACTACTGACTGGCAGTATTGCTGATATCATGTCTACCATCCTCTTAAAATACTCTGTCCGACAATGAAGAAAGGTGTTTTAACGCTGATTCAAAATAGC